ATGTAGTAATGGGTTCATATTGGTTCCAATTTTTGGGAGCCTTTAGGGGGTCTGGGTTTGGAACACCATACTGAGAGCGGCCTGCAGAAGCTCCCATGCTAAGCTCTGGGAAGCTCCCTTGACAAAAGCCCTCCACAACAAAAACCAACTGAGGAACCCTGACAAAGAATCCTGGCGACTGAGCTACCATGGCTAAATCCTAGCTCCCATAGACCCTCTAACCCTTGAATCCTGGAATATATCAAAAGCCCAAATCCTCAAGCTCTAAAGTGAAGCGCTGAACATCACTAACCCTAGGCCGCCAAGCGCTCTTGACTCCAAACCTCTACCTGCAAATCCTGAAGGCCTGAGCCCCCAAGCCCAAATCCCCCTCGGACCCCTATCATTGCAAAACCCTAAGGATCCAGAGACCCAAATAATGGGGATTTAAGGCCCAAAGACTATAATATGAATGTCATGACGGGCAGCAGATTCGGGAGACCTGAAGGCCTCTGCTTCCATGGCATCAGGAGGACTATGATGCATGTTTTTCCCGGAGAAGCGAATGCTGAAGTCAGTGTTCTTAATGAGAACCTATACAGCTTGTCCATGCATGAGCCCTCGAGGCTTCAAGCAGCACCGCACAAGTCCTGGGCGCTCAGCACTCCTCCTTGGACCTGCCCTTCGGGCAAGATCCACTCTCTCATCGTTGTGCGGGGCTCTCCGAGCAGCCCTTACGTTGCCAACTCCCTACTGCCCGCTCGTTTCACGGGCACGGTCAGCTCAAAAGCTTGCATCGGGATCTCTGATGTCCCTAACTGTCCTTCCAAAGACGAATCCAGTTCGATATGTTCTCCCTATTCACAAGATCACACCACCGAAGCTGACACTTCATCTGAAGACGTTTGTGCTTCCATAGCAACAGAACATACTTGATTTGACGATCTGTTGGGAGGGTCCTGCCTGGAACCTCGAAATGTTCCTGAGGGACAAGTCTGATAGCAAGCCTGGCAACCAGCTCTGGCTTCAAGCCCGAAACCGTTAGTCCTTCCGCACGAAGCCCAGCCTTCAACTCTTCGCAAGTCATAAGTGACAAAACGTCCCTGCAGAGCCGCTCGCGGTCCAGAGACCCGATGGTATCATCACCCACAGACGAGGCAGAGCTGAATCCACCTGGAGAACTCCTTGGCTGGGGCTCTTGTGGAACGCCAACTGATGAAGGCATCTGGGGTGATTCCATCGTTTGAGGACCACTTCTCACATGCCTATGCGGAGTCACATTGCCATGCCCTGCCAAAGCTGTCTGAACTGCTCCTTGAACCTCTTGAACTTCAGGAGGCGTCGTTTGATGTCGTTCTTCGAGTCTTTCAATTTCTAACTCTGCAGTCAAACGAGCCAGCTCCCGCAAACGCCTCAACTTAGACTCCTTCTTGGCAGCCTTCTTGAAGCATCTGACGCACCACTTCACAAGCTCCCACACAAAGACAGCCAACAGAGCAACCACTCCAGAGACCATAAGCAGCTCGTCCACTCCAGACGAAGGCAAAGGGGCCTTGGTCTCCTCCTCGGGCTCTGAACCAGCCGCTTGCGGAAGCCGTTCCAAAGCCACCATGATACAACGCAACGCCACCGCCCTCGCTAGCTTGAGACACACATCCTCAGGCGTCATTCCTTCAAAGCCCCATTGACTCAGAAGATCAAGAAGTCTAGCACGAGGATGCATCTTCGTGGCAAGGTCCGCCAGCTGAAAACGACCCTCGGTGTACTCCACTTGCATGAAGCCGCGCGCTACCTGTTCTCGAAGGTAACCACTTCTTACTTTCAAGTGTCTTGTCCGCCAGCTTCCTGCGCCACCAAGAAGCATAGCCGTGGCGGCAGAGTTGTCCACTCTAAGAAGACGATGAACACGATAGCCTATGATCTCATCCAAGAGGACCCCAACACTTTCCAGTAAAACCGCTGCAGTAGTGGCCTCCAGTAGTTCAGACTCCATCGTTGAAAGGGTTATCAAGCTCTGCTTGCCTGATTTCCAGGCAACCGGTGCGCCGTTGATAGTTATCACCGATGCACCATACGACCTATCCCCATAAGGCGCGAAGCTGGAATCACTATATCCTACTAGAGATACCTCTTTTGGTTGCTTGTGGGAAGTGTTGCTGCTGCTGCTGCTATGTGTGTTGACCTTGCCGCCGTTGTCCCCCAGCACTAACTTGAGCTCCATGGTAGATGCCAGGTAGGAGAGCACCCGTCTCGCTATTCGTGCCACCCTCTTTGGATGCCGAGCAACCCATTGGGCCATATGCCCCACAACAAACTGAAGGTCTGGCCTGCATCTCATCGTCAACCAGAGCTGCTCACCAACCATCCTTTGTCCAAAGCGCAAATCAGCTTCAGAAAAGTCTTCTGGTTCGCTGGAGACATCATCCATTACCCACTCCTTTGGGCAGGGCAGCAAAGTTCCAGGAGCATCTTGCAGGCCATGAGCACGAAGGAGATCAAGAATGTACCCCTTTTGATGGATTTCGAAGACCCCGGATGCCCGTTGAAAGACTTCCATACCCAAGTAGCGCGTGCCACCAGATGCTGAAGCCCATTCTAGAGCGCTGCATGGCCACTCCTCAAGAACCCAAGCATGAACCGCAGTAACGATCTCGGTCCTGGAGACATAGAAGAGGTCATCCACATACGTTATGATACATCCTTCTAAGCCCTCCTCATTCTCAAAGAAAATGAACCACAACTCAGGGTCCACTGCTGACACTCTGAGAACCAGGTACTTGCTGCCATAGAGGATCCTGGCTTGAGACAACCTGGAGGAGCGGTAAGCTGCCCATATCGCAGGGGACTCACGAAGACCGTACAGCGGCCTGAGAACAAGGAGAAAGGCATCTTCCGAGATGTATCCATTGTCGGTCAACAACCTCGGCGGCACAACTGCGTATTTGTGGAGGTCTTCTGGCCAGGGCGCAAGGAGGAAGGCCCCGCTTATGTCGGCCGTTGCCCCCCACCACCCTCTGTGAGCCGCTATCGCCAACACAGTTCGAAACGTTTCTGCTGAAGCGCCTCCAGCATACAAAGAGCCGAACTGCTCTTCAGGCGCAGCGAAATTGCCGCACAACACAAGGCGATATTTCCGCTTGTACTTCACATCCTTGGGACCTGGAGGTTTCAATGTATGCACGCCCTTGCTAGGTACTAAGCGCAAAAGTCCTTGACGTTCTAGGCGTCGTGCTTCTTCACGACTTATCTCCACCAGGGTTCCGCCGTCGAACAAGTTGTCAAGTTCCTTGCGAATTGCCGCATGCCACCTATCAACGACCAGCTTGACCTGGCTCAGGGGTACTGTGTGAACAACTTGAAGATCACCCTCCAGGGACTCAAGGAGCTGCTCATAGTCCGGCTCCATGGATTCGGATGCTGCTCTCAAACACACCTTAAGCATGGCCCGGTCTTGTCTTGAAAGGCGGCTTGATGCTTGCTTAAGCATCCCCTCAATGCTCTGCTGCACCCTCTCTGACTCCTCCTCGACAAGCTTACCTGCTTGACGCAGATCCTCCGCCAACATGTGTTCCTCTTCCATAAGGAATCTCAACGAACGGCTTCTTTCTTGTAGGTCCTCAAGAAGCTGGTAGTGAGTCTCGTTGAGAACAAGCAGCGAAGACGCACAGTCGCCCTCTAAAGCATCTCTGCAGGCAACCTCACAGACCGTCTCCTCCTCACCAAAAGGACGGAAACCAAGATCCTTCAAGTACGCTGCATGCCCCGGGTCAAGGTTGGAAAGCCTGGGGGTGTAAGCGATGATCATAACCCTTTCTCCTTCATGAGGCTGAACTTCATGCCACCTTCGAGGATCAAGGGAGAACGCCCTGCCCTTTACAGTCTTCACAATCTTCCCCTTCAGCTCATAGCCAGGCTTTACTTCCTTAACCACAACTTCCTCACCCTCTTTGAGGCTCTCCTCATTCTCTAGCTGAGCCCATAGCCCTCCACCTTCAAAGGACGTCAGAGGGCACAACCAATTTCGTGACCCAGGGAAATTATGGGAATCACAGTGAACTTGCCCTCCGCCATTTCGCTGAACAACTATGGTCGCAAACTGCTCGGCACCCATAACTTCTCGAGCAAACTTTGCCAGGAACTTGGATACATTAGGAAGTCTTTTAGCCCCGTCACGCAATCCAGACACACCACCATGCGTAAAGGCACCAGTTGCCCAGCTCGTTGCTTTCCCTCTCGGCTTACGTCTCTTTGCTCTGGAAAACAACTGCTGAACTTCCTCCAAGGTTTCAAAAAGCTGCATGACCAAACCTGTGCTCATGATCCCAGCCTTCAGGTAGGACTCTGCTAGCTCTTCTGCCCTACGTTCTGGATCCGACAACGGTCTCAAAGCCCTGACCGCGGTCAACTCATTACGCCAAACATGCCCTGATGGATCTCCAGAATCTAAGGGAACTTCGGGCGGTTCTGGATGATATTCAAAGGCCTTATACGCCATGAGACACGGTCCATGCCCACCAAGAAACCGAACAGCTGGTCCTTCTTCATCTGTCCAAACACCTGCTGCTTCATGATGTCCTGAAACATGCCCTGATGGATCTCCAGAATCTAATGGAACTTCGGGTGGTTCTAGAGGATCTTGTTCAGGGCGGAGCTCATGGGGTCCAAGAGGCCTCTTTCCAGTCACCCTCCGTGAAGGCATAGGAAAACTCGCCTCTACTAGGGCCAAAGGAACTGCACTATCAGGGTCCTCAAAACCAGACCTCAAGTGCAAGGAAGTCACGATCCTTCCAGTTGGAAAGCGTACCACATGACCCTGCCGAAGCTCGTGCGAAGGACCCACATAGACGCCTCCCTGCCACCTCTCGTCCAAGTCAAAGTGGCCTCCAGTTCCATAGACCTTGTTCTTTACCAGCACAGGCGATCCAAAGGGAATCAGAGCTCGATCTCTGCCTAAAGCACACTCGCGCTGCTGGAAGGCCGCAAACGCCATGGCAAAGGGCCAACACGATGTATCCAGGCCAGCCGCTCGAAGAAGAGTTTTTGTGCGAACCTTGGCCCGTTTGACTCCTGCCTCAGCTCTTCCATTTGTTTGCGGTGCCTGCGCCTCCCCAGTGGTGGGAAGCACATCTCTATGAAGCAGCCACGCGCGAAGCCTACTCCCTCGAAGCTCACGAGCTCGGTCTGAATGAACCCTTGTCACTGGAAGCCCTTCTGAACGGAGCTGGAGGTAAACGTGCTTCACCGCATCTTCAATCTCCGGGGTTAACCGAGTCTTCAAAGGAACAGCATAGTGAAGAGTTTGGTACTCCATGGTATCACCAACCTCCTTGTACAGGGCCTGGAACCGCTTGTTGGATTTCTCTAGATCTTCTTGATCTTCGGGATCTAAAGGTGGATCTGCAGGTCCTTGCTCATCCAAAAAATCCTCTTGGCCTTCAGCATCCGAAGAAATCTCTGGCTCCTCAGGGATTGGAACATCCTTGTACACGGAGAGTTTGGGCATCAGGTACGTCCCAATCAGCGCATACCTGAACCCCTTTGATCCGCCATACTCGCCCTTCTTCCTGAAGGGTCCGCACACATCCAGAGACAACGTATAACAAGACGGTGCAATGATCCTGCGGTGAGCTCTGCCGGTGGCAGCAGTCTGGATGCACGTCTTGCATCGCCGATCGAATGGCACATGGCCGTTGGCCACATGCCGCCTCCAGTACCGTAGGTCTTTGTCCGACCAAGGAGCATCCGAATCCAACTTGTGAAGCATGTACCCCAAGAACATCTCCTCCGGTCGAAGGCGCCACCTGTCCACTGCCACACCGAAGGCATACTGAAACGGAAGTCTCCAAACATTTGGCCACGCCTTCGTAGTCAAACCTTCAGGAGCTCCAACACCATCAGGAGCAAGGAGACCACCTCTCATGGCAAGGTTTGTTGCAATCAAGTAGTTAGATCCATCCTCTGGGGTCTCTACGTGCATCATGGGAACGTGATACTCTCGCCTAAAGACGTCCCACATGTTGGACTTCCACAAGGAGCTCGCCGGTGTTGATCCCAGGAGGAGATATGGAGGAAAGCTTCCATGCATGACCGCCCCTTGCCGAGCAATCATCCAGAGGAGAAGTTGTTTGGCCAGGAGCTCGGAACCATCATTAACAGGAGGGCTGCCAAAGACACCCTCAACCTGCCCTCGAGCGGCTGCCCAGACCAACGCCTTGTACATGGCACTGTCACCCTTCAAAGAGAAGCGCTTGCTTCTGGCAACATTGCAGTCCACCGTTACAGCATTCTCGGAGTTGCTGACTTGGAGATCTGCTTCTCCTTCTCGGCGGTATAGCCTTACAATCCATCTTCTCGTCATCAGAGCCTTACGCATGCTCCTATTCAGAGGGAGCGCCTTGAGATATTTCCACCCTTGCCTGTCGTCTAACCCCACATGGACCGCCGCAAGCGAAAGTACATCCTGAGAAAGAACTCCAAGAGGCGACTGCTCAGACGACAAAGCTTCCAGCATACATTCCCTCGACCCTGTCGCCACAAACTTGCTCAACATGAAGTCCCATGACTTAGTCTCTTCCACATCCAAGGTGCGAACGAAGGTCTCCGCGGTCTGGGTTTCCAGGGCTCGAAGTTGCAGATCCTCAAGTTGCGAAATAATCTCCAAGGCCTGCGTTTCAACTAACATAGGATGGTTGCCCTTCACAAAGGTCCGGAGAACTCCAAACTGCGGATGAACAACCTTGAGGCCACCCTTGCGCGTCCAGGTGAGATCACATCCCAACTCTTGAACCAAGGCTCCAAGGGGCAGGATCGGTGTTGCATTGGCCGCACTGGGGTCATCTGCAGCAGCCAAGAGCGTTCCTGCCCTGTTCTGCTTAAGGGTTACATATTGCCCACCAGCCAGCTCCACCCTAACAGGAGAAGCTTGCTCCACATCACCAGGAGCTGCCTTCTTGAAAGCATGTGAGGCTCCAGAGTCCAGCAGGGCAAACCCGTCCTCCGAGTCCAACCCAGCAGCCTTAATCGCTGCGCTGAGTTCGCCAAGGCTCTGGTTAGTCTTTACTTCCAACGCCTGGAGTTTGGTAAGCTTGCTAAGCATGGCGTTGGCCTCCTTGAGAAGCTCCTTGACATCGGATTCGGTGGGATTCTGAGTAGCAGATGGCGCAGCCGATCCCGAAGGCTGGGGATTTACAGGTTGGAGAGGCGTAGACTGCGAGGGCGTACTCGAGGCTCCTTCTACCGCTTGCTGAACAGCTTGAATTGACTCCAAAATGGCCTGCTGCCTTCTTACCGGAGAACCATCTGAAACCTCTGAATGCAAAGTCACCGAAGCTGAGGAGGAGGCTGGCCGATTGTCAGGCTTGCTCTGAGGCTTACCCGACCTGCCATTCTTTGAGGCTACCACTGGGCATTCATTCCTGCGATGAGCAGATGAGCAGTACTTCCACACTCCCAGCAGCGTGCTTTCTTGTCCTCCTTAGACTCGAAAACGTGCTCATACTTGCAGCTCGCTCCCTTTTGGCATCCATTCTTGGAAAGAAAGAACTTACACGGCGGCCTTGTTCCTCCCCGTCTTGTAGGTGACGATGTCGGAGTTGAGGCGTCTCCCGTTCCTCCAGATTGTCCAGTGCCGATGGCCTTGATAGAGGGAGCGGCCGTGTCTGCGGCCACCGGTGCAATCATCTGGAGCTCGGCAAGGACATGCGTGTAAAAGCGGAGCACAGCCTCTAAAGTCGGTCTACCTTGGAGCTGAAGTTCATTCTTGGTGAGGTCAATTCTGAACTTCACTTCGGGGTGGGCTTGCAGAACTTTCTTTATCATGGTCTCCAGGGCCCTCAAAAGGATGGAGGAGTCAGGGACAGACACATGCATGGCCTCCGCTCGCTCCAGATACCTTCGCCATTTACGAAGAGCAGCTACACATTCATGAACATCCTCCCCGATCGGCTTCCCCTCTAAATGTTTGAGGACAGCTGCCCTTTCTGATACCCCGCCAGGCTGATATAGCACGTGAAGTCTGAAGAGCAAAGAGGGAACGTCCAGGATGCGGTGTGTCACTGCGTCCTCCTTCGCCGGTTTCTTCATGGACCCAAGGAGCAATGTCATCACCTTTCTCTCCAGTCGCGCCCACTTCTCCTCCTTCAAGGTGTCGGGAATGACGGGTTTCATTGCCAAGCGATTCAGAGGAGACGCCAAGGTATACTCAGCATAGGCTTGCCTCGCCACCTCCAGACAAGCTGAAAACCACGTCGAAGCCTTGTCCGACAAACTGCCGATGGCTTGTTCCACCTCGTAGAGCCAATCGGCAAAGGCCACCGAGGCCTCCGGACCAGTGTCCGGCATCTCTGGGACCTCCACGGTCCCCTTTAACTCAGAGTCCTTAGCATCGGACTTGCCTATGTAGGCTTGTTGAAGTTGCCGCATGCCTTGCACCAGAAGATGCAACGGCTCCTGCGATGCTGTGCCTTCATTCACAGAGGGCATATGCGCAGGACCAGAAGCTGAGGCAGAAGATTGCTCTGCCGCTCCAGGTCTTCCACCACTGTGTTCTCTGCGTCCAGAGAGTCCTCCAAGTTGCCCTGCAGATACACTTTGAGGTACTTCTGCACTTAGAGGATTGCAATCTGGTTCCTTAGCACTTTCACAAAACCGGCGAGGATCTTCTCGAGGAACAGGACCCTGGATTACTCGACTCGTTGGGTTTAGGTCAGGTTCTAAGCCCAGCCTCCCATAACGATCTCGGTCAAGCATCTCTTGGTCATGCCCTACAACCCCGCCCGGACCCAAAGAAGGCGTAGTCTGAAGAGCCTTCCTCAACTTGACATTCGGCTGACGCAAGTCCCGAAGCTCAGCATCCTTTTCTGCCATGGCCAGCTGAACCTGCTTTTTACCTCCTCTCGAACAAGCTCAGGAGACAAACTGCCCGTAGACAAACTCTCATCCCTTGCATGCGCTGGTCCTGGGTGCATGGTGGGGCCAGGCGATATCAAAGACCTTCGTGTCGTCCACTCATGCATGGCATCAGCAACAGCGGGCTGAAATAAGCCCTCTTGCGGCCGCTCATCTCGAACCTGGGCTGAGGTTTCTGCAGGCTGAAGTAGCGGAGATTGAGGTACAGGGTTCCTGGAAACGTGTTGAAGGACAGGTTCTATCATTCTCCTTCTCAAGGCTTGTCCGGCTCTAGCCAGACCTGCGAAAACTCCACCCCGTGCTGGATCATGCTCTGCATCAACACGTAAATGTTGGGGTAGGGGAGGAGGATCACCGTGAGGAGGCATGGAATAACCATGAAAGCCTTGATTATAACCAATGCCCATCGACCCACCTTCATGTACTCCCTCAGCTCTAAGCTCCATCTGGCCTTGTCCAACCATGGCCTGGAACTGCATTCTCTGTCCAACAGACGCTGCAGCTGACGCCATCTGAGCTGTCCAAGAACGAACGACCTGCATCGGCTGAGGCACACTATGAGGTTCGGGGTACTGAGCGGGCAAAGGTGTAGGAGGTGATGACACCTGCGGAACCAAAGTGGGACCATGCAACGGAGACTCCTGCTGGGGCTGCTGCATAGGTGCGTTCTGCTGGTGCAAGGTGGAGCTACGTGGCGCTGGTGACGTGGTGCTTGTTGATGCGGTTGGGGGGATACCTACGGGACCTTGGGGTTCCATAGCGATTCCCGCCCCTACACCCTGAGAATACGTCGTAGCGTCCGGTCCGGTGTTCGAGGCCGTTCCAGAAGGCCTAGGAAAGCTGTCGTCACGAGAGCTGCCTGACTGTTCCCGAACAGCGCCTAACACAGAGGCTGAAGCACCGCTCCTTTCTATAACACCATTCATCTGCTGACGGCTGGAACCACCCATATTCACAGCACCATAGTTTGGCCCCAGAAGCTCTCCTTCTAATACTGCAGAACCCTGTTCTTCGGCAACAGCCACGATTGGGCTCATAACCTCATGACGGGCAGCAGATTCGGGAGACCTGAAGGCCTCTGCTTCCATGGCATCAGGAGGACTATGATGCATGTTTTTCCAGGAGAAGCGAATGCTGAAGTAAGTGTTCTTAATGAGAACCTATACAGCTTGTCCATGCATGAGCCCTCGAGGCTTCAAGCAGCACCGCACAAGTCCTGGGCGCTCAGCAGAATGGTATCTTGGTCCTTGAACCTTAATATGTGGGTCCTTGGACCCTTAGGGAAACCCTCTGTCTTGTTTGAACAGCACGGTCGTCGCCTCGACCGGTGGCGTCGCCGGCGCTGCTTCATCTTCGGATCTTGGGGCCTCGGCGGTTGAAAATTTAGTGTTTAAGATTCTCAAAATGCATTTGAATTTGGTAATTTCCCCAAGTAGGGAGACCCAATATACTAGAATCCTTATTATGGGACCCCCCAAAAGGGTACCCCTTATTCTGGGAAACCCCCCATTTAGACCCTTAGCTACGCATCCTCAACCCCACACTAAAGAGCCTTACCACTACATCAGCACCATCTGCCCGTGCGTGGCTTGCTCTCTGCTTCTTAGTAGCATTAGCTAAATGAGCTTGGTTTAGGGTTTAGGGCTTACGGTTTAGGATTTAGGTAGCTAAATGAGCTTGGTTCAAAGGAACATAGAGGAACCCCATGAGGTAGCTGGGGAACCCCATGATAGAATCTTCGCTGCTGCAACAGGATGCCATACAATATATATATATATATGTATGTTTATGAGGGGGTTGGGATTTATAATGGGCTTTTGGCTACCCCAATCCCTCCAACAAAGGACACGATGACCATCACATGACGATTGCAGGTTCTGATTTTGGCGGTTTGGGTCTACTGAAGTCGCCTTAGCAATGAAATCCTAAACTCACGGATTTCCGGAGTTTCGGGATTTGGCTTTTGAGGCTTCTCCACACATGAGGCACTCTTGCTGGTCTTCATGAGCAGCACAGTACAGTAGTCGATGAAGGAAATCTTGCACCACTTCGAAATCCAAAATGTCATAATTAAGGTCGTTGGGGCAAATATATTGGGATGTGCAAGATTTCCGCCGTCCACAGCACTACCAACAATACCAACACCATATAGGCGAAACCAGACGCCGGTGGCTTCGACCCCCCCCCCCCACTCCCAGCACTGAAGGCCCCAAACCTGAAATCTAAAACCCGGAACAAAACAAAGCCCTGAATCCTCAAAACGTCACATCCCGTTCTCAAGGATTCAAAGTCATAAGTCCTAAGTCTCAACCCTAAAAAGCAAAACGAAAAGGGTTGGTAGCTCATACGCTTCCCATCGACTCCCGCCTCGGGCTGGCCACTCGCGATGGCTGTCTGTCCTCCCAACGTTAGGCACAAAAAAAATCCTGTCAAGCTTTCCCTAAGGATCCAAGTACACAAATAATACCTACATTGGGCCCTAAAGTAGGTAAACATTACCTACATTGGGCTATTTGGATCCCTAGGCTTTCTCAGATCAGGAGTTAGGGTTTAGGGTCCCTGGCCGGGGTGATAACTTTGGTGGGACTTATAAGGGCTCAGAGTCTTTAGTCTTTACGATGTGTACTTGCGGGTACCCTAGGCACCTCCAGCATGTGTGGATTCATGGGCCTTAGGGGTCTCCCTCAGTAACTGTCTCCGGTTTTCATGGACAGGCTTTCGTGGAGGAGACTAGAAAATACTCCATAAAGCTACAGCCCCTCTAGGGGGGATAACCTTCCTGATCAGTCAGGGCTTCGACATCACGATGCCAACAATAATCAGATCCAAGGCGAAGGCCCTCTACCCAGACCCTCCTATGTAGTTCCTTTTTGAGTAGTATATTATAATCCCTTACCAAGAAACCATAACAGACCCAAAAAGGAACTACATAGGAGCCCTTGGGTAAAGACTGTTTGCCTCAACGCCTACCAATGAGGTCCTTCAAGGTTGCCCCTGGGATCCCTAAAGACAAATAATACCTACATTGAGCCTTAAGTCTATAAACCCCTTATGTAGATAAGATAGTGCTTTGGGTATATTGTAATAAGATCCCCATATACCCCATATTCCATCTACTTAAAGGGGACTATATACATATTACCTACATTGGGCTATTTGGATCCTTAGGGTTGACGTTTGAGCCTAGACCTGCCAAGTACCCTCGGTCAAGGCCAAGGAACCCGCTGTTAGGGGCCACGTTACCCCAACTAAGGGTACCGGAAGGGTCTTGGAGGGTCGGGTCCACCAGTCTATGGGCATTATCTATACTGGCCAACATAAAGCCCTTTTTGCAAGACTCCTACATGTGTGCTTTGGCTTTCAAGGTAGTTTCAGGCCTCCTCATAATGAGATTTTAGTATGTTGGGGTCCGCGTTGGTTCCCCTACCTTATGGAAACTACCACAAAGCAACACGTGTACGCTGGCTCTTGGAGGCTACACTGGATGCATGTTGGAGAATGGACGACCTGTCACTGTCACATAGTGAGAACTAACTTTGACACCACTACAAACGGGCAGATCTCTGGGCTTTTTGGCGGTACTGTTCCAAGATCGCTGCACTCTGAGCAGAGGAACAAATTCCTGGGGACTCTGGAAACCTACCTTTAAAAGTCAACAATAAGGAGGCTATTGGTCATGAATTCGGTCATGAATTCAATTTGGGTCCTGATACTTACACGGGTCGCTATATATTAGGAATAACAAGGGATCAGGAAGCTCCTGTATTTTTTGTTCTATGAACGTAGATAAAAGAAGCTATCAGAAATCTGGTTCAAAGTATGCATCTCCTTGAGTTCCTGAGTTGAACCCAACACCCGAACCTCTGAACGCTGAAGCCTAAAGACTCAAATCGAGCCCTAAACCCTGAACCGTAAACCCTAAAAGCCCAAAAGCTCTGTGCCTCAAGTTTACCTTCCAGCGTAACACGTTTTGTGAGGCCTCATGAAAGAACCTGAGCATCCTTCACCTACAAACACAAACTGCAGTGCTTAGCCGTAGCCCACATTACTTACCCTAGCAAGAAAAAGGATCCTTTTAATCACGAAAGAAAGGAATCCCATACCCCAAAAAACACAAAGGATCCCTGACATTGATGCAGATTGGAAGGTCTGTCTAGGAAATCCCAAAGCCCCAAAACCCAGTACGCTAAACTTACTAGCGCCTCAGGGAGAGTGGGAGACTGACTTACTATTAGTCCCTATTCCCCTTTATGCACCCAGCAAACCCTAAAAACCTGAACCCTAAGCCCTAGACCAGAACCCTCCCAAAATCCTTCGATCCAAAGCTCTCTCCAAACCCTAAACCCTCTCAAACCTAAACTCTAAACCTCATAAGCACCATAAACCCTTAAAAGCCTTAAACATCAAAAAAAACATTACAAACCCTATAAACAACCTAAAAACACTCTCCAAGCCTCCCGGTGGTGCCGGGGGTGCTGTGGGCGCCCGGTTTGTCGAAGAAAGGCTGCGGGGTACCGGAGTGCCTCGTCACCGGGTTTTTA